GGTCCCATTCTGACTGGGGGCTCACGTTTGCACTCCCAGCCCCCACTCTCACCTGAGTGGCATTGTGGTTAGTGGTTAAGGGTACCAACTGCAGAGCTAGGCTGCCAGGATCTGAATCTCTGCCTTACCACTCAAGTTTTGTGACTTGGGGAAAGTTAACCTCTGTGGGTTTCAGTTTCCTTACTGTAAGATGTTGATAACAATAGCACTTAGCTGGTGGAGTTGTGAGGACTAAGTGAGTTAACAAAGAGAACAGCTCTCAGCACAGAGCAGGTGCTATAAATATTTATTAAAATATATAAAATTTATAACACTGACTTTCTAACATGTGCTGTACAATGTATGGTATGTAATTTATATAGTCACACAATTATAGAAATATGTTTAGTTAGGGGGGGCACATAAGTTGATTTACTTCTGGGAAGGTACATCACATTCCCAGAGTGGAGATGAATTCTGTCTCTTGTTGGTTCATTTCGTAAGTGTTTCAACTTCTGCTACCTTCTCTTTGCTCTGTGAGGATTACCAGCTGATACTTGCCCATTAATTTGTGAACAACCATATTATTGGAGGCCAAATACTGTCTTAATCATGGAAACTCTTTATCCCCTGTTTTCTCTGTTGTCTGAGGATCAGTGTGGATGGGGAGACACCTGTGGTCATCTTGGCATTGTGCTGGCTGCTGTGGGGTTTCTAGAAGTGAATCGGACACAGCTCCTTCCTTCAGAGAGCTTTAAGTCTAAATGGAAAATCAACATGACCTGTCCTGAAGTATTGAAGAGCAAAACTCATCTAGTTAAAGAGATTAGTCAGTTTAAACATTATCTTGTTGCTATTTCTAAGGAGTAGACCAGCAGTATCTGAAAGGATAAACTGGAGAAAATGCAGAAGAATTTTTGCCTTTCTGCCCTGCAGGCAGTTGAGACCAGTGCTGGAGGTCGTGGTTTCACACCACCTTAGCTTCACCTTGCCCCAGAAGGGAAGGAGATCCAAAGGAGGAATATGTTGACCTGACCATAGGAACAAAGGAGGTTCACATTTATCTGGGAGCTACTCAGCTAATTGTGTATCTAGTATCATTTAATTCCCTCAGTCAGCCTTTGGAAAAGGTGGAATTAAACCAATTTTTTTTGTAAAGGTAAGAGAACTAGGGTTCTGTGATAATAAGTAACATTTCAAAGTATTATAGTGATTAAGTTTGCAGAGCTGAGAAATTTTAATCCAAGTCAGCATGGCTAGTACCTTGTGATCTTTCCACTTCTGTAAGAAGGGGACACTAGCTACTATTTTTCTTGGTTCGTTTGGAGATGAATTTAGCTGGAACACATTCACATTTGACCCCTTTCCTTCTTCTCCCCCAACCCCAATAAAAGCAAGAGCTAACTACCATTGGCCACCACATTCTCCTCTGGGACCAGGAAAGAAAATAGTGATATTATCAGCAAAAACCTAATTAAACTACCCAGGGAAAACAAGAAACCTCCCAAACAGTCATATCCAAGCCAAGCAAAGCTCTGGGAGAAATTCCTGGGGCATTCAGCAAGAATAACCTAAAAGGACTTTTGAGCAGAAATTGAAGCCAAATAAAAACACTGTGTGTTAACCTTGGGCCCATCAACAGCATCTGAATTGCAGAGCCAGGGCACCATGCTTGGAGTGGTAGCCAGGCCAGGCTAGGCTCTGCTGTTGTAACAAATTAACCCTGAAATCTCAGTGGCTTAACACCCAAGGTTTCATTTCTTACTTACCTTTCATGCCCAGTAAGGGTTGTGGTGGGAAACCTGGTTTCACATAGTCACTCAGGGACCTGGCTGGACAAGGACTCTGACATCTTGTTGCTGCACCATCTGGATCACAAGACCTCCAAGGTTGCATGGGATGTGGAGGGGGTTGAATAGTGACCTCCCAAATTCTCGTCTGCCTAGAACCTCAGAATATGGCCTTAACTGGAAATAGGGTCTTTACAGATATAATTGCTTAAGGATCTCAAGATGAAATCAAACTGGATTTAGAGTAGGTCCTGAATTCAATCACTGGTATCTTTGTAAGAGAAAAGGGGGCGGGGAGGGGACAGGGATTTGAACACAGAGACCAAAAGAGGGAGGGCCATGTGAAGATGGAGGTAGTATTGGAGTGATGCTGCCCCAAGGCAACGAGTGCTGGGAGCACCAGGAGCTGGAAGAGGTAAGGGGGATTCTCCCCTAGTGCTTTTGGAGGGGATGTGACCTATTCACACCTTGGTTTTAGGTTTCTGGTATCCATAAACATTAGAGAATAAATTTCTGTTTATTCGAATCCACCAATTTTGTGGTCATTGTTATAGGAGCTAATATGGGAGGTCTGCACTGTGACGTTTTTAAGGCCAAACTTGAGCCTTAGCTCACACTCCTTTTTTTGCTATATTGACAGGAACCCAAATTTAACTGTAAGGTAGATTGCCTAATGTTATCCTCTGTGTGCCCAGGAAAAGGGCAGTGAAATTGCTGTGGGTACAGCGGGGGGAGCAAGGGATAGAGACCAGGAATAGAGACCGCCCACCTTTAGAGGTGCTTTTCGGAGCCATCAGAAAGTCCATAGGATCACTGCAGTCAAAGCAGGGTAATTGGCTAGCATCAGCGAGGGGAGTCAGAAAGCTGGGGGACATGGCTCTGAAAGCATCAATGGGCCATCCGTAGTTGGCAGCAGAGTCCACAGAAATGCAACAGTAGGGTCAAGCAGAAAAGCAGGAACCCCCACCAGCAGAATGGGCATGAAGGGCAGTTTCTGAGATCAAACATGAAGCCACAAGCCCTAGTGCCAGTGGGCTTCATCTCTTCTCATTGGGCAGCTGCTCAGATATTGCTTGAGAACAAGTCAGTATACTTAGCTCCTGTCCAGGAGGGTTGTTGGGTAGTCTTTTTCATCTCTGTGTCTCCAGCTTATAGTACAGAGTAGGACCCAGCGAATGTTTGTTGTGTTCAGCCTTTCATCAGGGGGATGTCTCTAAACCGTGAACCGTGCCTCAGAAGTTTCAAGCTCAAACTCCCCATTGCCTAAAGGAGTAAGTCTTAAGTCCACCGTGTGACTAGAATGTCCCCTTGTCCCTGCCAGAACATGGTGATCTCTCTCAGTCCTCTGTACCTTTGCCCCTGGCATTCTCTTATTCCAAAGTGACCCGTGCTTCCTTTTCCACTGCATGAGTACTTGACTTAATGTTGTGTTCGTAAACTCTTTCCTGACTCCCCCAGCTAGTTAAGTCCTCCCTTGCTATCTTCCTCATTGTCCTTTGTATTTAACTTATATGGTGCAGCAATATTGAAATCATTTCTTTTTTTGTCTGTTTGCTCCACTTGACTGAATTTTGCATTTTTCATTCCCTTCCTTGTCCCAATGCCTGGCTCATAATAACCTCCAATAAATTTTTTGTTATGGAAGAAACATCGGTTCTACCAGGCCCTCCTTTCAGACAGCTGCAGAAGCAACTACTAGTAGTTCTAAGGAGTGGAGATGATGTTATGATTATTGATTAATTAATTGGTTATTGATTTATTATTCACCATGAGCAATAGAGATAGGAGAAATGAATAAGGAAAAAAGATAAAAATGGGTTGGCGTATACCATTTGTGGTGAACAAGAGCTAACATTTCTGTATCGATTTAAGATTTATAAAGTGCTTTACTGTTAACATGATCTTATTTGTTCTTGTTACACAGGGAGGGAAGTAGGGCTATAAGTGTAAATTCTTTTCCTGAACATCTCATGCACAACTTTCGTGCAAACCAGTGAGTGAAGATGAGTAGAGGAGAAGAAAGGGAAAAAGAGGACCAGTAAGGGAAAAATGCTTTATTTAATTTATATTTTCTAATATCCACAAATAATTCTGCAAGATCCATGTTAGGTCCATGTTACCACTCCCATTTTGCAGATAGGATCACAGAGGATTGAGGAAGTAAAGTAACTTGCCCCAGATTCACCAACTAGAAAGTAGCAGAGATTGGATCTGGAACTAGATTTTCTCTCTCTGAAGCCCTAGGTCACCTGCTGGGCCCTGCAGGGGTGGAGAGAAGGTGCTGGCTGTGTCTTGGCTGTCTCCTGTGTCTCCCTCTGCGGGGAATTTGTTAGAGGATCACAGCTACAGCATTTTTGATATCCTCTCCCTTGCTAAGCATGTGAGACACACACGTTGCCTCTCGGCCAGATTTAAAAGGAATTGTTGGTGACCTGCTGAGGTATTTTCATTTTGTTCATGGAAATGATTAATCTTGAGGCTTTGTAATGGCCTTTGTCACAAGTAGCCTTCCTTAATCCATAATTTCCTCACTTCCCTATAGGGTAATATTTTGCATTTAAGAAATAAAAATAAGCAAAATAATCCTGCTGTGAGGATATGTGTACGTGTGTGTGTGTGTGTGTGTGTGTGTGTGTATGTGTGTGTGTGTGAGTGTGAGTGAGTGTGTGTGATGCTGACCAAGGTCTAAGTTCACCTAAAATGGATTAGAAAAATTGCCTTTTTAAAAGAAAGCTGTTCATCTTTTTTGCTAACTCTGTTTGTATCTATCAATCCCTGCTTCTTTCTTTTGGAAGGGATGTGGCCTATTGACACCTTGATTTTAGATTTCTGATATCCATAAAAATTATTTTTAATGGACTATTTTTTAAATTCTCCTTAGTAGATGGAGCAGAATATTCTTGATATTCCTGTTTTTTGTTGTTGTTGTTGTTGATATTTTTTAATGGTTGATTTTTTTCAGGTGCTTCTTCCGCTTTGTATTTAGTCACTTAGCGTCCATGAAGCAGAAAGGAGGCCGGTACTTTTAGCCCGAGGCCTACAGGGATGCTGCGATTCAGGATGGAGAAAAAGAAGGTGTTTTTCCCTAGGGCTGGGAACTGCTTGTTCTGAGCTCCTTTTTACTTTTAGTACTTGCTGCCTGTGCAGTTCCAAGTAGGGTCAAAGTAAAGCAAGGACACGTGTAAGAAGAGGACTTGAGTGAGACTGCAAGCAGATGTCCTTTGCTACCTATTGAGGAAAGAGGATCTGGCTGAGAGACCCGCAGCATTCACTTGTTGAGGGCTTATAGCCCATGCCTGCGTGTGTGTGTTTCAGTTTTATTCTTTTCCCCTTGCCCCTAGAGCTGTGGAGTACCTGCTGTTGCTCTCATGCCTCTTGCCAACAGTGGCATCTGCTCAGTGTAGCCATCAAGAATTTGAATGTCAATATCTTTGCCTTGAAATGAATGGAAAAGTATTTGTCACTCAGCAGCAATCATTCTTCAAATAAAAGGTTAGCCAGACAGGGCCCTTAATCAAAGAGTCGGTCTTTTCTGTCAGCAGTGCCTTTTAAATAGCAATGATGAAGGCTGGCTGTCAGGGTAGGACTTGATGAGCAAGATGATTGATCTGCATAAATCATTTTCTTTTAACATTGTCAGTGAAGAGTAAATTGGTGGGACATTTTGGGTATTAGCTGTGTTGAAATTAATATGCAGTATCCTAGGTGTGTCCTCACTCGCAGAGTCCTCATAAAAGAAGGTAGAAATTAAAAGGAGGCTTTTAGGCATGCATTGTTCTAATAAGAAAGTTGCACCATTCTTACTGCTGTGGTCATCATCTTGCATGCTAAATTCGGAAGTTGAGTGTGTAGCACATTTTACAAGCTCCGAAAGGAATCTAGTTAATTTGGGAATTAGCTGGAGTCAGTAGCATTTAACAACCAGTAAATCTGTAAAGACTCACTGCTCAGAGGAAAAAAAAAAATCTAAGAATGGTTTCTGGCTTTACAGGATAGGGTATCTGCTCCCTAGCTTGGTGTTGTAGAAATAGACTCAGCATTAGACCTGGTTTTGGCTTGAATTCGTGTGCCATCACTCCTAAGTCAATCTCCTTGACCAAGATGTGGGTTATTAACCTTTTTGAGTCTGTTTCTTTGTCTCTAAAAATAGGATTCTATTAATTACCTTTGGTGGGTTTGCTTTTGGTGTTAAACAGGGTGATATAGGTGAAAGCACCAGGCGCATTACCTGGCACATGGTGAGCAGTTGCTTAAGAAATGTTAATATCCTTCCTTCTTTCTTTTATTCAAGCAAAACACTGCAAAAACCGGAATAGCAGCCAAGATGTCAATATCAAGGACATGCCCGCATTGCCAACCTAAACAATGAGTTTCTTGGTTTTAGTGACTCCTGTCCTTGCTGGCATATCTTAGGACCATTTTTACTTTTTAATTTTAGAGTTGTAGGGTACATGTGAGGATTTGATGCTTTAGTAAATTGTATACAGGCGAAGTTTAAGCTTCTTGAGAGCTCCTTCTTCCTCTGGTAGTGGACATGGTACCCAGTGGCTTGTTGTGTGCCCTTTATCTCCCCTCCAGATCTCCCCCCCATTAGCAGTTCTTAGAGCCATTTTTATGTCAAAAACATGTTTTGGGGGGCAGAAGAAAGACCTAATTGGTGAATACTGGAAGTAGGGAATGAGATAGAAGAAATGGGAGAGAAATGTGGCCAAGGACAATTTGTTTTTCTTATTATTACACTTGGAATGATGTGTCTGGGTTTATGTTATTAAACTTTGGAGTGAGCAAATAAATTGTATGCAATTTGGTGTTGAGATTAAAACCCAGGACTGATGAGGCCAAATTGCTGCGTTCAGGTTCCAGATCTTTAACTGGTGTGTGACTGTGGGCAAGAGAGTTAATTGCCTCCTTGAGCCTTAGTTTTCTCACCTATAAAATGGGGCTAGTAATAGTATTTAGAGTGTTGTTAGGATGATTGAGTCAGTATATAAAACAAGGCATGGCTGGGCTCGGTGGCTCAATCTGTAATCCCAGCACTTTGGAAGGCCGAGGCTAGTAGAGTGCTTGAGCCCGCAGGTTCGACACCTGCCTGGGCAACTTGGCGAGACCTCATCTCTACAATAAATAAAAAATTAGCCAGGTGTGGTAGTGCATGCCTGTAGTTCCAACTACTTGGAAGGCTGAGGCAGATGGATCGCCAGAGCCCAGCAGGTTGACACTGGGGTGGCTGTGAGTGTGCCATGGCACTCTAACCTGAGTGACAGAGTGAGACTCCAACTCAAGGCATGTAACAGAGTACCAGCTATATACATGTTAACTATGATTACCACGAACAATTAATTGGTTAAGAAAGATAGGCAAAGGGTCAAAGTGTCAGAGGAAGAAACATAGTTATGAGTGTGCCAAATAATGGTATGAAATACTGGGGTGAAATACTTGTTTCATTTTGGAGGAGCATCCCTGTTGGAAGAATTTCAAACCAGGGCGATCCTACAAATGTTCATAATGTAGCTGGACAGTCACTGTTGTTTTGGAGTGACTGACCCATTTCACTCTTTGCTTATGTAGTGAAATCTGATTGAGATAGTCCTATGGACAAAACTAATACAGAGGAGTTGTTAGTTTTTTTCTTGCTTCACTAAAAATTTTTTCTTGATTAAATAACTCATTGAACAAATAGGTTTCATTGGGTCTTCTGGTAAACAGTCTTTCATTGCTGTGTTGAATGCACAGATTAAAGAAATACTATTATCTTAACCAGGTTTTCCATGTGCCTCCTGTAATGGTAAAATCTGTGTCAGTCTTAGCTTGTGGGCACAGGGCATGGACATGCAGGCGCCTCTGTGACATGCATGTGGCATGCATCTCTATAAATTAGCCAGTGTTGTTGGAGCAATCCCTCTGTTCCTTGGAGATTTAAATTATCTCCATTCTTAGAGATTTACATTTTCTTCTCAGGTTTTGTTTTGGCTCAGCTGATTAGTTGTATTTGGGCTTTGTGTTTCCACTCCCTCTCCATCTTCTGAATTTATCTCATTCTGAGTCTTTTGTTTCCACAAGAGAGGAGATTCCACAAGACAATTCCAGATACATTTTCACCATCACTGGTGATTCTGTGGAAGTCCTCAAAGGGGTCTGGAAGAAGCCAAGGTTTCTGTATTCTCAGAAGGGCCCAGTGTGGAGATGTGATACCTCATCAGTCTCCAATCTCTGGTATTGTTACATTAAACACTGAGCATAGTCACTATGCTACTTTTGGGAGAAGACTGTGAAACTACTCTATGTCTCCTCCAGGGGCACACTGGCCATATTTGAGAATTTCTAGAAACATTTTCTACTGCTCTGGCTTGCAATGCTCTTGGGCTGCAGAAGCGGTAAAATTGTGCTGTTAGATTTGTTCCTGATTCTGTCCTTATCAGACAAAGCATAGCTTAAGTTATCTAACTGGCTACTTAATGGCGTTCGGTCACATTGGGTGTGATACTCTGCTCAAGATTAATTTTGGATAATGAAGGTCTGAAACAAGGTGTTTAAGAGCCCTGCTAATGTTTCCTTTATAGCAATCTACCCAAACGATAGATATGTAGACTTCTTTATTGGATATGAAACATTAGTGCTGCTTTCTGTTTTAAATACTAATATCCATTATGTGTTTCTCACCATAAGCATCTCTGACCCCTGCCCTTTTTAAGGTTTTTGCCCGTGACTGTCCAGTATTATTCTTTTTCCCTCCCTGGTTTCCTTCTCTTTACTACTTTTATTGTTTATCAGAAATATGTTTGTTCAGTACCATTTGTTTGCCATTTTCCTATATGGGATATATTCATACTTTTTCTGACTCAAATGATATCTATCCTTCAGGGCCTGGCTGAAGACCCATAGCTTCCTGGCCCATATTCTCTGTGCAATTTTTCTTCTTTTCCAGGAAGAATTTTGTTTTTTTTCCTCTGAATTCATAACCATCAAGGATTGAATATGCCTCTAGTGCTTGAACAAAGATGGGGGTTCTCTCAATATTTTTATGCATGTACAGCTCCTTTTCCTTGTAGATTATCACTTATTCAAGAACAGGGGCCTATGCTTAGCACACATCCTATTCTTGGGCATAAGATAATCTAAAAGCCTAGTGACTATACATGGTCTACAAAAAATGAGTCCTAAAAGGAATTGACAGTTATTTTGTGTGAGACAAGGCAGAAGAATCACCTGATTGATTTTGCAGGGTATCACTCTCAGTGTAGTATTTGTGACCACCTGGGGGGATATGACCAGGAAGCTTCCATTAGATTCATCTATGCTTTCTCCAAGGACTTTCATAATCACCAGGTTGCTGTTTGCAGCTCTCTCTGACAGTGGTTGGGGTCCATAGAGTTGAGTGGCTCCTGTATTTTCTGGCTCTATCCCATGATTGGTGGTTTGATATTCTGTTTTCTACTTCTTTGTTACTGTCTCTAGGGTCCCCTTAATTGGGACACCTTAATCAGGGAGCCCCTGCTGCTTGATCTAGGGATGGAGTCTTGCTGCTTTTCCTCCCCATTGTCAGGTTTCATGGTGTTTTCTTGAGTTGGAGACATCAGCCTGGCAGTACATCCTGTGCTTTCCGTTATTACCTGTTGTGTATTTCACCTAAGGCTTATCTCAGGAGGTGTTTGCATCTCATTTGGCTGGGTATCTTTTTGGCAATTGGTGAACTTGGTTAGATTCCAGTCTATTCCTTTTATTTTTAGGACATGCCCATGTTGTTGATTTATGTGCTAGACCTGTGATTAGTCTCCTTTTTTCCCCCTATGATGTATAGATACCATTGCCAAACCTCTTGACTCTTAAAACAATCTTGGCCTTTTTAAAATTTGCAAATAATATTGGAATAAAAATTTTTATTATAAAAGATGCAAGTAATAGAGATGTGATAGCAAAGTGTGAAAATCTCTGTATTAGTTAGGTTGTGTATAACAGAAAACCAAAATAACAGTGGCTTAAAAAATGTGAGTTTTAATTTCTTTCATAGAAAACAGCCCAGTGGTAGTAGGCCAAGGCTCTTATGTTAGAGGTCAACAGAGACAAGATTTCTCTAGTCTTTATCTTCTGTCTTTCTGCATCACCATCCTTAGCTGTGGCTTTTTTTTTTTTGAATCAAAGTCTCACTCTGTACCCAGGCTGGAGTGCAGTGGCACGCTCACAGCCACCCCAGCGTACACCTGCTGGACTCAGGTGATCCTTCTGCTTTTCAAGTAGCCGGAACTACAGTTATGTGCTACCACGCCCAGCTAATTTTTGATATATTGTATAGATGAGATCTCACCAAGTTGCCCAGGCTGGTCTTGAACCCCTTGGTTCAGGCAGTCTTCTTACCTCGGTCTCTCAAAGTGCTGGAATTACAGGCCTGAGCCATTGCACCCAGGTAGCTGTGACTTTTATTTTCTAAACTGCCTCATTGTTCAAGGTAACTACTGGAATTCTAGTCATATCATCCAGATTCCAAATGGAAGGAG